TTGTTAAATTTTGGTACGCAAGCAGATGAACACACAGTGACAGTGTCAGAGGGGTCTGTTTAAGCTTACATGTTTGTATAGTTAACTTGCAATTGTGTACTCCAACAAGAGAAAGATATTGACACGCAAGGGCATCACTTTGTGTTGAAAAGTGGTGGGGACATTAAAACTCATTCAAAATAGGGGTGTGACAATACACTGAACTCATGAGAGACAATGATACACAATATTGGTGTCGTGAGAACAAGATGTGATGATAGACACGACCTCAGTGGGCTCAGGACATGACCTTAGCGTGATGCAATTGAGGATGAGGATTTAAAGAGTTTGATGGCCACAGGCAGGAATGACTTCCTGTGGCGCTCTGTGGTGCATTTTGGGGGAATAAGTCTTGCACTGAAAGTGCTCCTGTGTTTGAGCAGCACATCATGGAGTGGGTGGGAGACATTGTCCAAGATGACATGTAGTTTGGACAGCATCCTCCTCTCTGACACCACCGACAGAGAGTCCAGCTCCACCCCCACAAACCCCTCACCCACCCCTAGGCCCCTCATCAACACCCACTCCAGCACCAACTCCACACACCCTACCCTTAGTTCTAATATAAACACGGGTAATTTCAAAGCTCTTGGCCATTAGCTTTATTGTGACACCGATAGAGTCTGTAACACCCATTTCCAAATTCAGTGTTGCAGACTCATCCAGGCCATGCTCGCATATATATTCAATTATTCAATATGATTACAAGGCACAAAAGGTCAGTACAGTTTTTTTTAAATCTGTCAAATTAGACTGTGACAGTTATGTTCCTCCTTTTAACTTAAAACAAGGAGAGGAATTTCCATTCAATGCTTGAGTGATTAAAGAAAAGTAAAATCAAACATTGAAGAAATTACTGCAAAGCATTAAATAATAAAATCGAATTATGAGTGAACAAATAAACATACTACATCCTTCAAATTCAATCTTGAGAGCTAGATTAATCGAGGTATTGGTCAAATTATGTGCAAAACTGGTCAGTTTTCTTGAGGCTGTTACAGGAGAACTTGTGGGTGTTATTAATCTTTATTAATATAAAGGCAAACACAAAATTCAGGTGGCAGGTGACAATATAATATAATGCAGTAAAGCTATCAGGAACTTTGTGCTACTTTTAAATATGTTTCTCCTGTAGATAAACCTTGACAAGGTTACAAGGTTGTTGTATAACAAAACAAATCTTTGTAGTCCCTTCATGCTGCACACACACACAACAGATTAACATATTAATATCTGAATACACATTAAATGTGTATAAAAATATTTTCTCATGTAATATAATCTGTACTAAGTCGACACACATGTATGATTTAGATTAGTCTTCCCTCCTCTTTTGTCTTTGCCTTTATTTGGGGAAGTAATCTCTTAAAATATGACTATGGCACCTTTTCTCTCCTCAGTGATAAATGAATTAATTTCAATTCAGTGATAAACTCCGGACATTAATAGCTCCTGTGCTTCAGCAGTTTTTCTGCACATGTTCAAAACTTTCTGCACATTCAGAATCCCTCCCCCATAGACCCCATAGATCGTTGTTCTCTGACATGTTGAGAAAAAAGTCGTAATATTACAAGAAAAACGTATTATTTAATGAGAATTCATAATATTTTTAAACAGTCTATCTGCCCCATACTGTGCTGTGGACTAGCCTGCGTTATTGCTCTGCTGATTTGGCCCCTTTAGCCCATGTGCAGACTCAGAACTGTTTGGGACTGTACTAATGGATGAGAGGAGGAGGTGGAAAAATGAAACTTACTGAAAACACTTCTGATCAGGCAGAAATCTCACCACAAATCCACGCAAATTTTGACTTCAGCACCTTAGATAAAGTGCAGCTCAGTGGCTGAGAGTTGGCAGCTCTGGTGTTATTACTTCATGGTTAAGCAAGCTAAAGCTTTGCTAGTCTGCCTAACTGTTTACTCCTCACCTTGCCTGTCATACATAGGTGCTTGTTAACACTTTTTTAGCCAGAAATTTGGCCATTGTGATTTTATTTTTCTGTGTGTGTTTTGACATTTCTTTTTCTGGGCCCCTGACAGGCTACAGTGTTCACTTAAAGCGACTCGCTTTAGTAGCGAGTGGTGGGTTATCAGATGACAAGTATGAAATATGATTTAATGATAATAATACATTTATTTATCATGTAAATAGATATAAAAAGTTTTGTTATTCATATAAGACAGTAAGTAAAGTGTTCTACTTGATCCCATTGAAGGGTCAACCATAGACCTTTGCACTGCTCCCCCCCAACGACAGGCCTGCTCCCAGTTATTTGTAATCCTCCACGCTGACCCCCTGGATGGAAACAGGGGTCACTGGTGCCTTGTCTCTCCTTAGATCCACAACCAGCTCCTTAGTCCTTAGTCTGTTGAGCTGTAGATGGTTCTGCTCACACCATGTGACAAAGTCCCCCACCACAGCTCTGTACTCAGCCTCGTCACCCTTGCTGATACATCCAACCACAGCAGAGTCATCAGAAAACTTGAACTGAAGATGGCAGGACTGGTAGTTGAAGTCTGTGGTGTAGATGGTGAAGAGGAAGGGAGAGAGGACAGTCCCCTGCGGGGCCCCGGTGTTGCTGACCACGCTGTCTGACACACAGTGTTGCAGGCGCACATACTGTGGTCTGCCAGTCAGGTAGTCAACAATCCAGGACACTAGGGGGGCATCCACCTGCATCGCTGTCAGCTTCTCACCCAGCAGGGCCGGCCGGATGGTGTTGAAAGGACTGGAGAAGTCAAAAAACATGGCCCTTGCCAGCTTGTCCAGGAGGGCGTAGGTGTGGTTGGGCAGGAAGATGAAGGCATCCTCAACTCCCAGTCAGGGCGAACTGGAGTGGGTCCAGGAGAGGTCTGACCATGGGCCGCCGCTGATCCAGAACCAGTCTCTCCAGGGTCTTCATAATGTGGGAGGTCAGTGCCACAGGTCTGGAGTCCTTGGAGCCACTTAGACGTGGTGTCTTTGGCACAGGAATGAGGCAAGATGTCTTCCACATCAGAGGGACTCTTTGGAGACTGGTGAAGGACTCCACATAGCTGGGGAGCACAGGCTTTGAGCACCCCGCGGGGCGGACACCATCAGGGCCTGCAGCCTTGTTAAGCCTAGTTCACACTACATGACAATCATTACCAGATTTTATGCCCGATTTGCATGCTGTGATCGGGGATACATCAGTGATCGATCGGCAGCCGCCACTCGTTGCGTGAACTACTCAACGACGCATCAAAACGGCTCCCAGGCTCATCATTGACACATCGCAGACGCCAGCCAGATATCTAGCATGCTAAATATCCACCGACTCGACATCCACATCCAGCCAATGAGAGCAGGCAGCTGGCAGAGCAGGCAGCTACTTTTTCACTGCAAAACACTTTTTACTCTCCTCCAGCTCTCTCTGTAGCTCAGACGATCCCTGCTACCTGCGTATGCTAATCCATTCTTTCACCCACATTCTTTGTCTTTATAATTGCTGTCTTTATAATAACAAACAACAGCTGTTTCCTGTGTAGAATCTCGTCATTTCCTGTTTTACATTTCACGTGTGTTTTCTTGACAAAACGTGGTTTGGAGACCAGCGTCAGGTGACACAGGTGCTGTCAGCTCGTGTAGTGTGTGACCCCCTGTTGCCCATCAGTCATGTACCGTCACAAGATGGCGAGTTGTGTAGTGTGAGCTGCACAGTAATCTGCCGACGCTGAAAGTCCTGTGGTCTGCACAAGCCTTGAGGGTGGAGTCTCGTCAGCTGTCTTCTCACCTGGTCAGCAGTGAAGCACAGAGGTTACAGGTTGGGGAGGGGAGGAGTCATCAGACTGGAGAGGGGAAGAGCTGTATGCATCCTTAAAGCGCACTTGTATTGCAGACTGTTCTTTCAAAGCTGAGTGTACAACAGACACTTATCACAGCAACACAAGTTTCAAAACTTTTTTCCCAACATATGCACTCCAGTTTTCAGATTTCAATTCTTATGCTTTTTTATTAGATTTCAAGCTTTCAAACACTGAGTATCAACCTTTGAAAGCTTTTTCAGTTTTGAGATATGGCTCCTCTTTAGACTACATAAAATCGTCCACATCTGAGGTTCTGGGTTGTAAAAGAATGATCAACTCAAATACAAATATGTTCAAATACTGACAGTGAGATGTTTAGTCAGTGTGGAACTACTAGACTTCATGCCAAACCCACCTGACATAATGATGAAACATCCTATTTTTAGCCCAGTAATGCTCACTAAACATGTTATCACTGGGAAAATTTCAAACAAAATTTGCCTGTTTACTGAAATTATTAGGCAGAAAGCAGTCTTTGCTTGTTGGTGATGATCCAGCCCACTTAGTCAGAGGAAGAGGAATTTCTTAACAACACTGTTAGTCTGTACTGACCTGTGACCCTCGCATGAAAAAAACGGAATGTGAGTGACACAATGTACAATTTTTTTTTTTTTTTACAATATCTCCTAGCTGTTAGTTTATTGGCCCGTTGCGTTGAACTTTGCCCACTACAGTGGAGCTTTTATCCCATGTCATGGCTTTGTGTGTCCAACCTGTTCCCAGTGTGTGAAGAGGAAGAGGAATCACAAGTGACTCATTAACACATCAAGCTTGTCTTCTTATTGTTGTTCTTATTCACTACAGAAGCTCTGTTGATCACAGATGGTGAGACCAGTTTGAAGGGGGCACATTTATTTATCTTTTCTCTTCTCACTGTCCTGGCTCTGCCATCTGTTGATTTGGCTGTCTGATATCCTGTGATAGGCTTGCATAACCTCTGTGTGTGTTTGTGTGTGTGTTTGTGAAAGAGAAACTAGGTGTGTCATCAAGTGTGTTTATCAGGACTATTGATGCACTGTACCTCTAGTTGCTATTTACTATAGGCACCTCTGTGTGTGTGTTTGTGTGGATCAACAGTCATGCCATCTGTTAACAGTGCGTGTTAACGAAGCTCCACGCTTGCTCTCTCCTCAGATAAAGAGGAACTCTTTCAGAATGTGCTGACGCAAGTAGCAGAGCAGTTTTCAAGGTAAGCAGCTGGCTGAATGCGCTCACACGGCAATAGATCTTCTCTTAACTCACTGACACCCCATGCTGTAACTACTGTAAATAATTTCTTCAGCTTACTCTATTTAATCAGGTTGCTGATTCTTGAGTTATTTTTATTTATATTTATTGTATTATAGTGTTCTGTCTCTCTCCAATCTGTGTCCATCTGACGGCAGGGCGTTCAAGATCAATGAGCTGAAGACCGAGGTCACAAACCGTCTTGCCATGTTGGAGAAGAGAGTAGAGCGTAAGTCAGTTCCCACCACCTCACTATCATATTTACACACCTCTGGAGTTTTTTGAACATGAGCAAACTAAAGCCCCTTTTCCACTGCACAGTACCAGCTCGATTCGGCTCGACTCGCCTTTGTTTGGTTTTCCATTGTGTAAATGTTGTACCTGTACCTGCTAACAGGTACTTTATTTCGTATCACCTCCATCGAGGTTCCAAGCAAGCTGAGGGAAACTAAAATGTAATGTGAAAACACGACAGAATGCTGATTGGTCAGAGAGAATATTCACTATTCACTGCATCATCATTGCTGCACCAGACAGAGGCCAGCAACAGAAAGGTTTATATTTTACAGTTTTCGTATGGAATTTCATCATTAAATCCACTTCTGAGAAGTTTTGAGGTGAGAAATCAGCTGTGTAGATTTCCAATATTGACAGTTTTACGAGAAGTGATGGCGGAACAAAAATGTGCTTGAATATTTTCGGAGTTGAGGAGCTCAGCAAGTGGCTGCGGGGAAAGAGGCAGAGGAAAACACAGCTGGAAGCTTTTCATACCGCTTATCTGTCTTTACATTCTAAATAATGTGGAAAAGTTTTAAGTTAAATCAAGAGAAAGCTGTGTGTCGCATTGAAAATTACGTCGCGGCAGTTGTGTGTGGCGTCGCTATGACGTCCAGCTGAGGGGTACTATCTCTGGGTACTACCTGCAATGGAAAACGGAGCAGGGCCAAACTGAGTCGAGGCGAGTTGAGCTGGTACTGGAAAAGCGGGAGAGGGAAACTGGTCATGATTTATGGAAATGCACATGCACACACACACACACACACACACACATACGGATGGTACAACCTTCAGGAGTAATTTGTGGGTCAGTATGTTGCCCAAGAACACTTTGACATGTGGACTGGGGGAGCCAGGGATTGAAACACTGACCTTCTGATTAGAGGTCGACCCTGACAGAGAGAGAGAGAGAGAGAGAGATTTCTGATCTATGTGGGGACCTGAATGCAAGAACTGGTATTGAACTTGATATTGTAGTCCCACAATGTAATGTCATGTTTGGCCAGACCCGTGTACATCTAATCAATCATCACTCACAGAAACAACCTTGAAAGTGTCACAAACAGTAGTGGGAGGTAGCTACTACACCTCTGTCAATCCTCAACTCTGTACTTTCTTAATGATAGGATCAGAGGAGACTCTTTATGGAAATTTACCTGCACACACTCATTGAAAAACATGTACATCAAACAAAAAATGGAAAAAAAATATTGTTTAGCTGACTGTAAAAAGGCATTTGATTCAATTTGGCACAATGGACTCTATTATAGAATCCTTCATAGTGGTATAGGAGGAAAGGTATATGACACAATCAAATCCATGTACACAGATAACAAGTGCAGCATTGAAATTGATAACAATCACTTATTTTTTTACCCAGAGGAGAGGAGTTCGCCAAGGCTGTAATTTGACTTCCATGCTGTTTAACATCTACGTAAACAAATTAGCCAGATACTTTGGTGGGCAGGGGCTCAAGTGAAAAAAGGGCACTTCTCATAAATATTAATTAATTATTTTTTTAAACAACACGTTAAATATATTAACACAACTCTGACTTCCTTACCAATTTATTTTAATTCCCATACACTCACCCTAATACTCAACATTTTCTTACAAAATAATCAGTTCACAGAGAGACCATGGTTTCTTTAGCATTCACTAGGTTTATCACAGGAGCAGGCAACAGCAGTTTTTTTTGCTACTAGTATATATTTAGAATAAATAACTGCACCAAGGAGAGGGACATAGTTTCAGCCTATGATCAGAAATATAAAGTTACTGTTTAAGGCAGGACACTTTTTCAGATTGTGGTCAATTTTCTGATTTTGGTCTGTTTTGCTTCCATGTCTTCTTTTACTCTAATGGAAAGAAAATTACTGAAATACACATTTAGATGGAGTTTGTTTTAAGCAACTACCCTTCGTCGGTTTGCATCTGTAGATTTCTTCTAAATGAACTAAAACAATCTAATTTGCATATTTGAACATAAAATTTCAGGGGAATAGAGTCTTGATTTAAGTCATTAACTGAAGAAGTTCTGTGGTGACATGCTTTAGTTATTTTGTTTATCATATTCACCTGCAAATGTGTGCAAATTAGCACATTTTAATTAGTTAACGTCTAATTTACATATCATGATCGTGATCACATTATTAGAGACAAAAACTTTACTGTATTCACTTCTTACCTGTAGTGTCTCATCAAGTAGGCTACAACATTAGTTGCCTTATCTAAACTTTAGACTTCATCACTTCATCACTTTAGCTCATTTTTATTGTAAAACAGCCGGCCTGGTAGGCTGACAAACTCGATTAGGTTACTTAAATTGGGACATTCAGTCAAAATTAAGCAGCAGACAAACAGAGAGCACACAGACTCTACAACATGCTCAGATGGACAGCCATTGTTTTATTTGTATGTATTTATTTGTTATAAACATGAGCTCCTAAAAAATTATTAAGCATTGTTTGCCAGTCACATAAATTAAATGTTACAAATCTGTTACATACGGTAGGCCTACTGCTTATATTACCTCACCATCTGTACACAAATGTAAAGGAATGTGTGTGTGAGTGAGGACGCGTGGTCATGTGGTCTGGTGTGGCTACAGTGCCAGGGCTGAATTTTTGTCCCAGTCTGCCCCTGGTGAATGCACTAAAAGAAAAAGCTCGTAGAGCTCTTGATACAATTGAACAGAAACTCTATAATATAAGTATTCCAATTAAAATCTGGTGTAAAGTAAACTAGAACAGATAGACCCTATAACACCCCCAAACAAAGCAGTCTCTCCCTACATTTTAAATAATATCATAGGCCTATTCATAACAGCAGCAAGGAGTGTGTTTTTTACAAAGCATATAGCCTAGGCCTAATGTTTCTTAACGTTACCAGCTGAAATAAAAAAATAAAGCAAGTAAATCACAACTTTTGAACAGCGTTTTTTCTGCACTTGTAGCCTATTATAAGAGCAGTATTCAGTAGTTAACGCCACTCTCTCCCTACGAGTCCAAGCATCAATGACAGTAGCTGCTGGAGTTTCTTTCTGTAAGTTTCACGTTGCTGTGCTGCTTCAATAAATCAGATGTAGAATTGTTTGTGGTTGAAAGCGTTTTTGCTGGTCGCACAGAGTTTACAATAGACGACAATGTTCTTTGCATCTTAGGCTGTGACACAATAATGGTGATACTTACAGCTGTGGAAAGAACGCCTCTCTCCCTCGTTCTCCTTTCTTCCTTTAGTTTTTGGCTAACAGTGGACATGAACAACAAAGTCAGGTGCCGCTGACCTGCTGCACAGTCCCGCTTTCACGTCAAGGATGCTGCGTTCAGTAACAAGTAACACAGTGTTACTTGGATTAGTAACTAATAATATTACTGTTTTAGAAAAGTAATTAGTTACACTACTAGTTACTGGGAAAAGTAATATTATTACTGCCCAACACTGGTTATGTCTTATTCAAATGTAGGGCCTACTGCTTTGGCAACATTGTTTAAATGAAACACTAAAGCACACTGAACTGAGACAGTGAGAGAGAGAAGCAGCCTAATACAAGGCTAATATAACAAAGAAAAGCAAAAGAACTGTAAAGGTGGTAGTAGTACAGACATCAATGAAAATGATTAATAGTTGTAATAATGCTAACATTAAACAATATAATAATAATAATAATAATAATAATAATAGTAATAATAGGACTAATAATAATTGTTGCAGTGTGTGTCTAGCAGGAACATGGGGGCAGCAGGAAGCCTGCAACCACAGATCCAGACCCCACAGCTCCAGAGCCAGAAACATGCAGAAACGATACAGTACCCTAACTACTTATTTTGTCTGATGATGATGTCAAAACTAAGAGTGTACAGCCATGCTAGCCACTCTCTGAGGGTGTCCTTTGACACAGCAGTGCTTTGAGCTGAATGCTAATGTTCTGTTTTGTTTGTTAGCATACTAACATTTGCTAATGAAAAAGTACAGGTAATTGGTTTTAAACTTAGTAGTTGTGGCTCAAGAGGTAGAGTGGGTTGCCCACTAATCAGAAGTTCGGTGGTGTGAACGCTGGTTCCCCCGGTTTGCATGTCGAAGTGTCCTTGGGCAAGATATTGAACTCTAAATTGTGAGTATATTTGAATGATTACTTTTTGTGTCTGATGAGCAGTTGGCACCTTGCATGCTAGCCTCTGCCATCAGTGTATGAATGCGTGTGAATGAGCGTAAAACACTTTGAGTAATCGGAAGAATAGTAGGGCGTTATACAGGTACCTTAAACATAAGGTTGGGTGGCATTAGAGGAATAGTCAGGGATGTAGTTATTAGGAGACCACAAATGTCTGTATGAGTTGTCATGGCAATCCACCCAATATTTAGACATTGTCATTCTATGTCTTCATTCCTGTCTGTGAAGTGTGCTTCCAAGATGAGATTCAATAGATTACTATGTTTTATCAACAGAACTATTTTGTTAATCTTAACTTTTAAAACAACAGAGAAAATATATCATTTTTAAGTACTGTACAGTACACTGATTAGTGTACATTAGTATAAAGATAACTGCATGCTTTAAATGCATGTTGTCTGAACTTGTTTCTCTACTGTTTATGAGCCTGTGATTAAATAAATTGAAGCCGCTCAAGTTATGTGGTCTCCTAACCCACCTCCAGAGTCTGCCAACCCTGTGTTGTTATTAGAATCTACTGAAAATTAACCACATTTTAGAGAGAAGAGGAGTAGAGCAGAAAGGAATATATTGTCATCTTCACGCTTACACAATATTCACCCCGGAGTCATGCAGCAATGTTCTTTCCTCTTCAGTTGAACCCTTTCCAGTTTCCAGATTCCCAGATTCCCAGTGTTTTATTAACTGTGAAGATGTATGTGTGTGTCTTCTTCTGAGTCTGCCGACCTGCTTACTGCCACTGCAGTTTACCGGCTTGTCTGATGACATCTTGGCACTCG